GTATATATATTGAATAATAATTAATTTTTATTTTAATAAAATTTTACACAATAATAACAATTGTGGTAAATGATCACCAAAAAAACTTTATTCCGTATATAATTGATATGAATGGTATAAATAGATGCAATAATCATTTTTTTGCAACATTTTATACATTCTTTTCATTCATTTTTTTTTGAAAAAATAATAACAGCAATATTTGTCGATTTTTTTTTTATATTTTTTTATATTTTTTAAAAGAACTACCTACTATAATAGATAATTATATTTAATACATGTGATAATTAGATAAAAAATAAACGTCGGTATATTAATAATAAAATACCCAAGAAATAGAGTCGAACCGAAAAAAAAAAACCTTTTAATACAAAAGCAAGTTAATTCATAATGTCTGATACTATATTTGAGGCAATAGGGGATAATGGGATTGACGCGATCGATGGGGAAAGTTTCTCACAATATCCACCACAAATGGGTGAAAATGGATCAAAAGGAAGAGATGCAACACCGGCAGGCAGAGGATTTAAAGGTGGTAACATAATGATCAAATTATCAAGTATACCTAATCAAAGAGAACCTGGTCATATTTATGTTGAAGGTGAAATAACTTATGAAAATCGTCCAAGTGTTAAGATTGGAAGTGAATTTATTCTTGGTACAACGGGATTAATAAATTTTGTTTCTAGAGGTGGTAATGGAGGAAATGGAGCAAAGGGTGGGGATGGACAATATGGAGGAGATGGATTTCCTGGAGTTGATGCAACGGAATATTCTGAACCGTCTGATGGTGGACCAGGAGGAAATGGGGGTGATGGAGGAAGAGGAAGTGATGGAGGTGACGGTGGAAATGGTGGAGATGTTAAAGTACTTACGAGTGAACAAGATGCTCACTTACTTATGTTACTTGGTAAATGTGATTTAACAGGCGGACACGGAGGATTACCTGGAAGTCACGGTAAAGGTGGTAAGGGCGGTAAAGGTGCACTTGGAGGGAAAGGAAATGAATTATTTCTTCAAGGAAATGATGGAATAGATGGTAAAGATGGAAAAACATTGGATATAAATTTATATAGAGGACATGAAGGAAGGAATGGTAAATTAGAATATGGTATTATAAATTTTAATAATTTTTTTGAACCTAGAATTGATCATACTTTTAGGTTGGAAATTTCAGAATTTATGTATGAAGCTCAAGGAGATAGTGGAATTATCGAACCTGGAAGTACAATTCAAATAATTAATATGAAATTTAGGAATATAGGAATGAGTCCTACACCAAAATATACACCTATTAGAATAGAACTTGATAGTTTTAATAATGAATGGATAAATAATATAACTCATTTATATGCTCCATATGATATTTTACCGAATGATGTAAAATATTTAGATAATAGTCAGAGGATCATCATAAGTATCAATGAGTTAAATACCATTAATGATGGTAGTCCATTATATCAACAAGTAATTTTAAGAGGATTTAGAGCGATCATGTCACAAATTGAAAGACCTATAGAAATATTAAATGTTAACGATCAACTTAATTTATTAATTCAACAACCTATCAATATAAGTGAAGTGATAGCCATACGTTCTCCTGATAATTTATATTATGAAGTTTTTTGGTTCGTGACTAATATTAGTAAAATCCCTTTTGGTCGTAACTCAAGTTGTAGAAGAATGATCATGACCAAATTAACTAAAGGAGAATCTTATGGAATTGAAATCGATAGTCAAGAAATTCAATTATTAAATGGGGGAGTGACTTTACAAGTTACAAGTCGAGTTAAACTTGATAGTTATGAAACTCATCAATTTACTGTAACTTTACAAATTGGTAGTAATAATTATCATCCCACTGTTCTTAAACCCATTCAAACTCGTAGTTTTATAATTAATCCAATACCATCAGAGGATAAACATTTATTACTTAACGTGACGAAAAATGAGTGTATAAATATTAATCATCATTCAGATTATCAAGATCTTACTGGTTCAATATATTTACAATTATCAAACGCGAATGTTAATACGACTAATATTGGTAAAGTTCATATAAATGGTAACATCAAATTTACTAATGGTCATATTGTATTATTAGATCATTATTATAATTTTGATATCGATAATTATATTACTATTACTCAAAAAGATCCTCAAAAAATGTGTGAAGTAACGATCGTTACGACCGAACAAGATTCTTATTTATTCGCTTTATTGAACAACACATATGATGATACAACAAATATAATTGAGTGGAAATTTCAAACAATTAATCAAACTTATAATAGAGTTAATACGTATTCTACAATATTTAAACCAAGGGTTGATTATTATATTCCGATCATTGAAAATGATATGCAAATTTTTGAACCTAATAGTAAAGGTGTCATTCAAGGATTAAGAATTCGTAATGATGGAGAGATGCCAACCCCTGATAATCATAATATAATAATCAAACTTTTACCTACTGAAAATATTATTCCAAATGATGAGATCTTTTTTATTATATCAAAATCAATAGCTTATAATTCAACTTATGAATTGGAAAATTCCACTTTTAAATTTTCCATAAAGAATAATGAATGGGGTTTTGAGAATAAGATTCCTTTACAACTTAGTGATTGTTTTAAATTTAAAGCTGTTGTTACTTCTATTGAACATGTTTTACCAGATTTTAATAATTTTGAAAATCAAAGGATCACGATTCAATATCCTATACAAATTGGTGAATATTTAAGTTTTAGACATCCTTCCGAAGATGAAGAGAAATATAGTGTATTTTGGAAGATTAAGAATATTAGTAATATAGAATTTGGAAAAAATTCTGAAGTGGGTCGTTTAATTGAAACTTCTTTACATGATGATAATACGAATGATATTATATATACGACTGAAGTAGATTCTTTAACTGGAAACAATTATTTATTATTAAATACTAATGTAGTAATCAATGAAAAAACCCAATTTCATTCAAATTTACGTTTGGGTTCAACGAATTCACCGGGAAAACTCTCACCTATTCAATCTTATTCTTTTCATTTATTACCTTTATCATCAGATGATGGATATAAAAATCTTGATTTGGTATTTGATTTAAATGTTGGAAGATTAACTTTAGATGGTATACAACCAAATGATTCTATTCAACCTGGAAGTTTTCAACTTTTATTATCTACTCCAGAAACGAATAAAGTTGGTGATGTTACGATTAAAGGAACCTTACAATACACAAATGGTTGGATAATTCAAATTAATGATACATTCTCATTAGATTTAACTGGTTTGATACATTTATATCCAAGTGGTAAAAATTATCCCTCTGGAAAGATTGATATTGAAATAGCAAAAGAAGATACTCATTTACTTTATTTAATAGAAAAATCTATTTTACAAACATGTGAGGATCAATTATATAGAGTGATTGATAATACGGAAACTCCTGCTACAACAAAAGATTATAATAAAATATATGAATTTACTTTAATAGATTTTGATTGTGTTCCAGAAGATGATAGTGAAATATATGAACCCGGTTCACGTATTATTATACGTAATATTAAAGTTAAAAATACTGGTGGAATGCCAACTCCAATAAGTCATGATGTTGAAGTTAACGTTGATCTTTCAAAATCCACTTTAATTTCTTTACCTAATAATAATAAATTAAAATTACCAAAACCTATTGAACATTCTAAACAAGTGGAATTAAATTCAATTAAAGAAGAGGACGAACATTGTTTGGAATTTCAAATCAATCAACAAGATAGTGCTTCAAAGGATAAACCTTTAAATTTATTTGATACGATAAATTTAAAAGCAACCATGTTTGGAATTAATCGTGAAATAACTAGTTTTACATTCCCAAAACAACTTAATATTCAATATCCAATTCAAATTTGTCCTAATACTAAAATACGAGATTTTCCTTATAAGGATCTTACTAGAATTTCTTGGAAAATAAATAATATTAGTAAAATTAATTTTGGGTCGGAATCTGATTCGAAAAGGATTATTAAAGTTCAAGTTAAGATTAACGACATGACACCAAGTAATAGTCTAAAATTCAAAACGGGACAAACTTTAACAACTTTTGAAGAAGAAATCACGGTTTTAAATGCTAATCAATCAAGGGAAATGTATTGTGAATTGGTTAGAACTTTATCAAGTGAAGATCCAACGATTATTGAGGTAAACTTTTCTATAACACTTTGCCTTGGATCTATTGAAAATCCTGATAAAGGATCAGATATTGAAATTCGAAACAAATGTATTGAAGTTTCCCCAAGTTATAAAACAAATAAGGATGCAGACTTTTTATTAGTGGTTAGTCCTAAAACGAAAAAGAAGAATGTTGATAATTGGAAGAATTTATGTCAACAACTTGAATTAACAATGTCATTATGGGATATTAAAAGGGAAGGACATTTTGATTTAATTGAATCTGGTGTTATTGAAGATATTTCCGGAAAATCTATAGTTATACTTAATGATGAATTAGATGAAGATGAAGAAGAAAAGGAAGGAATTGATATTAAACAAACTTTAGATTATTTGGATCCATTTCATTTCTATCAAGCGGTTAATAATTTTAATATTAAATTTTTTATCGCTGGAGCGATAATTGATGATAAAAGAGTAGAAAATTTATTTATTCCAAAAGAAATGATGGAAATATCTAATGATCAACCAAGTTCATCAATGGTATCAAAAATCAAATCTTATGTACAACAAAAAGGTATTATTAAACATGCGGCTGTTATGGAGAGGGATGTTGTTAAACAACCTGTAAAATCAGCAAAAATAGAAAACGTTCAAACTCGATTAAGACCTAGTTCATTTAATTTGTTTAGATCAGAAGAATCTTATAAAGAAAAGAAATTAAAAAAATTATCAAAATCTTTACAAAAAAATTATCCTGGACACCGTTATGTTCTCGTATCAATGATGGGTAACGATAGATCTAGTGATCAAGTGATATTATGTAAAACTGCCAGTAGAACTAAACAACATTTATTATATTATAGTTTTTCTGAAAGTATAACTGATTATAATGAATCTAATAAGATTGGATTATTATCTTGTGTTTCATTTACGAAAAAATTGGAAAAATTACAAAAATTATTTGATACAAACAAAGATCCTGAAATTTTGGAGATATATAAGAATTTGATTGAAGTTGATTTAACAGTAGAAGTAATTGGATTAACTGGAACAAAAGAGACGAATAAAGACATTACTTCGGATATTTTATTATCACATATGGAATTATTTACCAATTTTTGTGAATTTATTAAAAATTCTAAAGAAACTAATATATCAGCAAATTCAGTTGATTGGATGATAAGTGTTTTTGCTAAATTAAAAATTTTATTACAATATTCCAATGATTCATTAATTAATATTAATAGTGCATCTCGAATTAAGCAATTGAAATTAATTTTAGATGGGGAATATTTAAGAACTTTCGGTAGATTTTCTAATCAAACGAATCAATCATTAACAAATATTTTAGATATTAAGATTAAATTTATTAAGAGTGATTTTAAAAATGAATATAAACCAGCAAAATCTGAAAAATATACTTATTTCAAATATAAATTGATCGGAATTTTGAAAAAAAATAACCTAAAATCAGATTTTGAACTATTTGGTGATAAATTAGATTTTATTTTATCACAAAATGAATATAATAATATTCATGATACTCATGAAAAAACTACTGGAACGATTAGAAGGAAGAAAACTAGACGTCAAGATCAAATCAAATCATTATATATTCAAAATATTTTTGAAGATCCCTCTAAAATAAACGATGTCAAATCAGAAGATACTAAAGAATGATATAGAAAAGAACAAATTTTGGACGTACCTTGCAGAATCAGAGTTCTAGTTATTATTGACAATTAGAGATCATATTGTGATTTAACTATTTCTTTTATTTTTAACAAATTAAATAGGATTTTTTTTGTATATTTTATTATTTATGTTTTATTAGAATAGTACTAGAATAGTATATGTATATTTAACAAATAAAAAGAAACATTTTAAATTTACAAAGTGAAATTTTGTGTTTTAAGGGTTCGATAAATTTGTCATTTCATGATATGGGTAACGCGCTGGTTTTTGATTGTGGTTATAATACCACTTTTCAACTACCTTCACCACCATCTTTACCACCTTCATCACCACCTTCATAACCTTCATCGGTTTTAAATATACTAACAGGTTAAATTAAATAAGGAATAAATCTTTTTCTTTTTTTTGAATATAAATCCCATTCTCTTCCAAATTTTTGTTTTAACAAATTCTCTTCATTTAAAATTCTTTGTGTTCCTAGATAAACATATAAGAAAATAAATAAAGTATAATAATACCAATTAAATATGAAAGGTGAAAAATCGACCGGAGAATAAATTGGAATATAATAATGAAGTTGATAAATCATATACTGCACGTTAAGTGTCATTAAAATAACTCCAGTATACTAAAAAATAAATAACAATATACAAAAATGTTAGTAAAAATTACATTATTGTTAAACCACTTAAAAATGTAACTTACTGAAGGATGAATTACTAAAGCATAAGGACCTGTATCGATTAGTCTATGATTTTTGAGAATGGTAACATTAAACGTAAAAAATTCTTTCAATGTGCGAAAACACCATAATCTTATAAAACACCCGAAAATGTTCAATATATAAAATACGATATCATAAAATGACCATTCGCTAAATCGAACATTTATAATAACAACATTATTATGTTCTTGTTGATACATAATGTAAATATAACATAATGTACATAATGACCAAAGGATTATAAATGGATATGGAAGAAAGTATACTAATAGTATTTCTGATAAAGAAAATTTTTTAATTTTCGTTAATTTCGGCGACGGATTTGGCGGTAATGAAGTTTTATATACAAGATAATAAAGAAGTAAATATGCGATAATTTTTGAAAACATTTTTTTTTTTTTTACGGTAAACTTTCGTTTTTATTAAAATGCGATGATGTAATAAGTGATGTGACGGAACGGTCGCACACAATTTTTTATTGCCCCGGATATTAAACATTGGTTACACATCAGGTTGTTTAAATTCAAAGTTCGAGTCTAAACCTAATATAAAAAGAATATATTCTGTTCCTAGGATCGCACGCAATTGGTGGAAAGTGTTTTAGAATTGAACTAAAATCATTGGCGCTACACAAACTTTTATTTCCTTATGAACTGACTTTCAAGTTAACACGAACTTTTCTTAAGCTTCAGCCTAAGCCACGTGAAGTTTGGAGTAATTTGCGCAGGAAATATCTAAATTGCTTACGAATTAAATTTTTTTAAGAAAGTTTGATTTTTTTTCTTTGTAAGAAAAAGATAAATAAATATCCCAAATGTAGCTTTCAGAACGAAAGTTCGTCTAAAAATTCTCTCAAATTAAGTTGCCGATAGAGACATTTGTTACAAATTTTAAACTTTAATTCCCAGTTTTCTAAATATTTAGAAAGTGTTGTTAATGAGTATCTAAATGAAAGAAGTATTGTAAATGATATTAAAACATTTAATTAGAAATTATTACGAATTTAATCACGAAAGGATTGCACATCCAGAAATATTTCCAAAAGAATGGAAAGATTGTACAAAAATAACTTTCTTTTATTATTACTAAAAGGAGAAAAATATTATTAGATTTTGAATATAAATTAGGTACCATTTTATCTTTCAAAGAAATAAAAAAGAATCTATTTGTTGATATAACTCGGAAATAAATTCCGTATCAAAACAAATTCAAAGAAAAGTTGTTACATAATCATTTATCGTGAACTTTTTCTTTCAGTTCTTTCTTTTTACGGAATTGATCGGCTGGATTTGGCTAATTTTGATTGTCAATTTTGACATTGATAAAGCTCCTTTTTGGGTTATGCGGAATTGCGGAATTTCAATACCGATATGATTAGATTAGATTCTAGATTTTCTGATTAGATCAAAATTTTTGATTTTGGTGAAAGAAGAAATGGTACAAAAAATGAACAATCTTTGCGGTAAAAAAACTTGTGTTACAACAAAAATCCATATAATATGTCCAAAATTTTTTTCTTATTCATCATGATGCACAAAAACAATGGCGGATCCCTTTAACCATGAAAACAATGCTGTTGCTTCTTGGTTCTACGGCCCACATGCCGAAAATAACCATTGGGTTCGCAGATTTTATGATATGATAGTCGATGAGCATAAGAAAGCAAGGCAAGGCTATTTCCCACTTGACCCCCAATTCATCACGGAACAAATGAAAAAGTCGGTCGAATACGAGAAAAATATGAATAACCTCTCGGAACAACTTACTCTCCTTTCCAAAGAGCTAGCACGGAAGACGACACCATTCTGGTCGCCACGTTATATGGGCCATATGAGCATGGAACCAACTATGCCTGGCCACCTTGGCTATATAGCTGCTCTGCAATATAACCAGAATAACGTAGCTATTGAGTCATCTCCGTTGACCACATGGCTTGAAATATTTGCCGGGAAGCAGCTATGTGAAATGCTTGGTTTTAATGTTCAATGGGAACCAAGATACGATGAAAACTGGGATCCAGATTTAGAGAAAATGCCCAAAATCCTTCCCAAGATCCAAGGATGGGGTCATATCACCTGCGACGGTTCAGTAGCAAATTTGGAATCTATTTGGTATGACATACAGTATTGATACATTTTGAAATCATGAATAAATTTATTATATTGGCAAACATATGCTAAAAATAAAAAATATTTTGCATGTCTGTTTATCCACAGGGCAGGTAAAGTATCATTAACTAATAATCTATATTGCAGTTGCTTAATCTTACAATATTTTTATCACATGAACAGCACGTAACCTCAAATTTTACCCACTCTCCCTCCGCCTGGCTATCGATGATGGTTCTCTATCCTTCATTGGCCCAAGCTTCAAAGTTGAATTAGCAGACGGAAAAATAAAACTCCTCAAAGATTGTTCAACCTGGGAATTGCTTAATCTCAAACCAACAACGATACTTGATATCCCTGACCGTTTAAGTAAAGAATATGGAATGTCACCAGACTTTTTGCAGAATGCGCTTAATGACTACATCATCCAAACTATTGGCAAGGAATACCTGGAGAAAAAGTTTGGGATTGAAAACCCTATTTTATACTTTGCAAGTGCGACCATGCATTATTCATGGCCTAAAGGTTGTGGTAAGTAAATTATTTAATTTATTTTATTTCAGGACAAATTTGCAATTTCTTCTACATTGTTTATAAGAATTAGGGATTAGAATCAAAATTTAAATCACTCTTTTGAAGGGAAAAAAAACTTGTCAATATATTCAATTTAACAGTCATTGATTTACAAAAGTTGTTTATTTTCAAAACGAATAATAAATTGCAATTTGATAAATATAATATAGATTATAATAGAAAATATCTACTAAACTAACATCTATTTAAAGCTATTACAGGAATTGGTTCAAGAAATCTGATACCGGTACCTGTAGACAATGATGCACGCATGAATTTGAAGAAACTTGAAAAGTTTCTTGAAAAATGTGTCAAAGATAAACAAGCTATCTATGCTGTTGTAGCAATTATAGGATCAACAGAACATGGTGCCTGTGATCCTTTGGATGATATTATAAAGCTTCGAAAAAAGTATGAACGTTATGGACTCAGTTTCGTCATTCATGCAGATGCTGCATGGGGTGGATATTTCCGTTCTATGCTTGTAAAACCACCTATTGGCTCGAAATCTGGCGATCGTTTAGAGGGCCATGAAGAAAGTCGTGATTCATTCGTACCTATGCTGGCACTTAAGCCTTATACCGAAAAACATCTAGAAAGTTTGAAATATTGCGACTCTGTCACTGTTGACCCTCACAAGAGCGGTTACGTTCCTTACCCAGCTGGTAGTTTATGTTATCGTAATCGACATATGAGATATTTAAACACATGGAAGAGTCCGGTTATAGTTCGGCCTAATGAAGAAGAAAGTATTGGCATTTACGGTGTGGAGGGGAGGTGAGTATTAAGGACGAAACCATGATTATTATCTCTTTTTTTTTTTATAATAATGTATGTCTTTATGTTCTTAATCTATCTATTTAGCAAATCAGCTGCAGCTGCAGTAGCTACTTGGCTTTCTCATGATATAATTGGCCTCCATCAGAAAGGTTATGGATTATTGTTGGGACAGGCGACTTTTTCTAGCATAAAGGTGACTATTATATTATAATGCTTTTACATTAAATCGAATATATTAAAGTTTTTTCCCTTATTTATTATATAGCTTTATTGTCATTGGGCCACCATGTCAACCGATGATGATAACTTTATTGTTACTCCATTTAACATGCTACCTACTGAAAATTGTTTTCTACCAAATCTAGAAAAAATAAAAGAAGAAAAACATCTTATCCGTACATTAATTGTTGAGAAATCAAATCATGAGATTATAGAGTGTGATCCTGCCAAGGAACTTATAAAGAAACTTGGATCTGATCTCATGGTTAATACCTTCGCATGTAACTTTAAGTTGAAGGTTAAAGAAAACAGCGAGGAGGTCCTTAAATTGAACGAAGATATTAATGAAGCAAATTACCTCAACCAACGTTTATATGAAGAATTTTCACTTACTAGTTCCAAGGACACAAATGAGAAAAAATTTTTAATTTTGACTTCAACAAAATTCAAGAAGGAAAATTATGGTAATTGCCTGAAAAATTTCAAGAATCGTCTTGGCCTAAAAGGCGACCAGGACCTCTATGTATTAATTAACGTTGTTATGTCACCTTGGGTCACCGAATTTGATTTCCTCAATGAACTAATGAAAAAGTTTCAAAGCACATTACAGGATCTTGCTAAGGTAATTTTGACCTTTAATATTTATACAATTACGTTCATTTTTAATAGCATCGTTAAATATAAGATAAAACTTTTGGTTAGCATGTAATTGTAAATAACGATATTTTATATTTTTTATACATATGATGCGCTAATAAATACACTATAGCTTTTAGTTTTTCGTAATACGATTGAACCAGACTATCATGCGTTTGTGATACAAGGTACCGATAAACTTTATTTCACGCATTTGCCAATGTTCCAAATGGAAAACCACCGTCAGCAGGTGATATTCACAGCAGAACTGCCACAAAATATAAAGGAGGATTATAAGAAAGCTCGCATAAAACATCCATCACGTGTGTACTTCCTTGGTAATAAAAATAAAATGACACTAGAAGAAATTGTATGTAATGAAAATTCTTTTGAAGGAGTTATCTACAAAGGATTTGATTCGAATGAGTATGTGTAACTTAAAATACAATATTTGTTTTTCTCTTAATATTACTTTTTTAATTGAAATTTCTTTGTTTTCCAGTCAACCCATTTCCTTTATTGAAAAATTTAAAGTAACTGGCGTTAAAGTGCTAAAGAAGCGGCATCTGGCCACAGTATTCCAAGATGCTAACTATCCAAGAGATCGTATGCCATTTTATATTTATGGTACAGAACAACAATTGCATATTGACCACATACTCCTCAAATATCCATCTATTCAACTTTCAGCCGATTGTGTTGAACTAAAACTCACTCAAGGCATTTTAACACAAAGCCAGAGAGAAAAAGGAGCTATTCTTCACATTACTGATTATTATGAATATACAATGCAACCATTTCCAGAAATCAAGAAACATGGAAGTTCATTCTTCTTTCAAGAAGGACGTGAATTTAACGTGGAACTTTATAAAGATCCGGTATTTGATCCAAACCAGAATGGGCCGGGTTTAGATGATGTTGATAGTAATACCCCATTTGCTAGAGGGACAATCAGATTGCCGCGTAAAGATGAGGCCGGATGTTTATTTATCGATTCTTATTCGATTAATAAGGATCCCACAGCAAAATATAAAGTTAAGGATGGTGAAATCAGAGAACGCCCACTGGATAAACCATTTGATAAATATTACTATGACAAGTTTGAAAAGAAGACAGAAACTCATTGGTACGAAGAAAAAAGGACCAAGAAAAAAAATATAGAAGAACAAGAAACGGACATTAAAAATGTGGATGAACAGAATACGGAGATTAATGTTACGGATGAGCAAAATACGAAGACCGAGGAAAGAAAAAATATAGAAGAAACGGATATTGAAAATGCGGATGAACAGAAAACGGAGATTAATGTTACGGATGAGCAAAAGACGAAGACCGAGGAAAGAAAAAATATGGAAGAAACGGACGTTAAAAATGTGGATGAACAGAAAACGGAGATTAATGTTACGGATGAGCAAAAGACAAAGACCGAGGAAAGAAAAAATGTGGATGATCAGAAAATGAAGAAGATAAAAACAGGGAATGAGGAAGAAAATAATGATTTAAAAGGGGAACCAAATCCATGAGTGAACAGGGGAAGGAAGTTGAAGGGAAAAAATAATGTAGATGAACAACAGAAGGCTAAGAAAGCAGACGTGGAACCATTGTTATAAGGAGGGATAAAATCAGGCTGCATAATAAGCAAATGAAAATGTTATACTTCTATACTAAACTTTTCTCATTATTATGTATATTGAATGCAAGATTAAAATTTGCTGTAAAATAGCCTAATAAAAAAAATATTTTATACCAATTCAATAATCATCCATAGTTTATTCTTAATAAATTCGCGTAGTATTCGCGGCCCCGACAGTTTTACCTCTCATCAGAACTTATATAAAGGCATTTATATAAACTTTTTGAATTAGGTTATTAACCGCATTAATCCAATAAAATTAATTGACGGAAAGCGTTAATTAAAAGATCAAATTTCGTCATTTATTTTGAAATAAAAGAATCATTAGCACTTTATTATTAGCCTTATTAATGAAGTAAAGATATCTATAAAGTATGATCTAAAAAGTTTGTTTATTTGTGTAAGTTAAATGTGTATATGATTCAAATTTCATTGTTTTGATTCAGAAAATACTAATTCATTTTTTTGTGTACCAAACATTTTCATTCCGCAAAAAATGAGTCATGATCTTAGAATCTAGAATTTATAATGAATTTGTGTTGATTATCTTTTTAAAGATTAAAAAAATAGATAAAATATAGACACCTATTGTACGGTAATATTAATAAACTATTGTATATCAACTTACTAATCAATTATAAATTTTTTAATAACACCTAATTTAATATATTTTTCAATTACTTTCATTATTTCTTCATAATTATCAAAAATATTTTTACCAGAATAACTATCTATAATTAAAGAAATTGATTTTAATGAAGTACGATTCTTCCAATTTACGAAAAAAGTTTCAAATGTATCCGGAAGTAATTTTGATTTTGCATCATAAGAATAATATAATCCTAATTCAGAAAAATTATTTGGAGAATATTCTGAAATAACATCTAATAATTCTTTTTCATATTCACCTTCACATTTAACTTTAATACTTTCTAAATTTTGACAATTATTAAAAATTTCTTTTAATGATTCTAATTCATAATTTTCATAACTTAAAATTAATATAGAGAAAATTTTAAGATTAAAACAATATTTAGCTATAGCCAAATTTAATAAATAATTATCACTTTCTACATGAAATTCTTTTAAAAATTTTCCATTATTTTCTAAAAATTTAATTAATAAATCAGTTTTAGGAGAAGCATCTTCAAATCTTAAAATTTGTAATTGTGAAAATGTAACATGTTGTAATTCATTAAAATCTTCAAAAGGATCATTAGATTCATCAAAATCACAAGAATATAATAATACAAGTTCTTGTAAATTTGTAAATTTAGTAATAAATGATAATGGTATAATATAACCATAAAGTTCAAATTTAATTAAAGTATTAGGAAGTTTTTTTAATGAAGGAATAATATTTGTTAAATCTCTACATTCATAATATTGCATTATATCCAAATATTTTAAATTTTTTTGAACAGAAATTAAATCTGATAATCCATTTGATATAACTTCTTTAAATGTTATATCCAAATGTTGTATATTATGACATATTTGAGATAATTGATAAAAAAATTCTGGATAAATATCTGAACGACAACTTAATTCTGTGAGATCTTTTAAACAATTTATTGCACCAGGATATAAAATAAATGTTATATTTGGAATATCTATAATTCTATATGAATAAAAATGTAACTTTTTTAAGCATGAAATTCTTTTCATAAATAATTTATATAATTCTTGTAATATAATAAATTTTATATAATTTAAACTTTGTGGTGTAACTGTTTGATAATTTTTAAGAATATTTTTAATTATTTCATCAATTGTATAAATTGAAAGATTTTTAATATATGTTATATAATTATATATTGGAAATTTGGTTGTTAAAATATTAATTCCATTTTTATATAAAACTTCTCTTGATTCATTTGGAAGACATGCGATTATTGTTTCATAATTTCGTATAATTTTCCATAAAATTCTAACGGAAATTTCTCCCCAAAAGCGATTTACTAATAAACATGAACGTAAAGTTTCTTTATCATCTTCTAAATATTCAAATATTTCGTTAAGACTATCTGCGTCAAGTTGTGGCATTTTTTTTCTTTTTTTTCTAAAATTTCGTCGAGATTTTTTTTTTTTTTTTTTTTTTAAAAAAAAAAAATAAATAAATAGTTAGAAAATCGTCGTACTTATAAATTGTCTTATTAAGGTTGCACAAACATTTTATTATGAAACAAAAATGTATGATAAACATCCAATGCGTGTGATAAACTGCAAATGTGTTATATTGGTTAATCATTTATATTTACCGAGAAATGCCAGAAAATATTCATATGTTTTTATGGACGATACTTGTGATAAAATTTATACCGTCATGTATATGAGAAGTTATGATTATAAAATTACATTTTTAAAAAAAATTTGGTTTGTCATCATATGATACTAACATACATACCAATTTTCGATTTATTCCTTTAAATGGCTTCTCATACTTCTATAAACTCTTATTATACATATGTTCAACAATACTTAAATCATAATTTCGTGTAATTACCGTATGTAGTTGGCTGCATAAGTTGAACAAATGCCCAGTTGAGAGTGTCAGCCGCGCTTATAGCCAATAAACTATATCTCTCATCTAAGAATCCAAATTATAAAAAATTAAATGTCACAAAATATATTAATTGTACTTATATTAATGAATCATACAAATCGACAATCATATTTGATACTATCGTTAACTACAAAAAATTTTAAAATTTTAGGAATATCGGATATTAATATAATATACATATTTTTTCTAGTGAGAAGTTATTACTCAGGATGCTCTAGGATTCTAGGCGTAACGTAAAAAATTTGCGAAGACAGTTTATCAAGAAAGTATGTTAATACTAAGAGGCATTTCAATTTATCAGACATTTACTAATTGGTGATTTATGTTAGTACAACCAGTTACAGTTACTCGGCACTTTGTATGTACACATATATTGGATATGAAAAAAGATGAAAAAAAAGTAAAACATGATATTGTTAAACTGAACAAAACTAAGAATTATGCTAATATATAAATTTTACTTATTTAGTTTTGATAAACGACGATTTTTCTATTCTAGGTTTCTAGCCGATCATCATACAAGCAATAGTTGATCTTTTTCTTTAAAGTTTGGTTTCATATTTTTTTAAGTGATCATTTATACGACACAAGAGATTGATTGGTTCAATTGGTGTTCGACATTTACCAAAATGTGTTACTTAATAAACCACAATGTGACAATTAATGTACGTTGAAATTCATTTTATTTGGTAAAATAAATTCATGGTAATACGGTGTAATGTTTTTTAAATGTTTTTAGAATTCGTTAAATTGAAGAAAAACGAAAATTTTGAAAAAATAAAAAACTTTTCCATTAAAAAACAACTATTTTTTTTTTTCTTTCAGCCAATAGATTCTTCCCTTCATATACAAGTTAAATGGAAAGTTTGCAAAAAAGGAAGTCAAGTTCTATTAAAAAACCTGACGTAGCCATAACGCCAAGTTCCTTTTATTTAAAAGAAACCTTACCCACTAATTCAGTTATTACAAATTCAGTTATTACAAAAAATTTATCAAATTCTTCAGTAAATGGGACTCCGTTGGATGATGGTGAAGGAGATGAAGATGAACAATCAAATTTAATTTTAATTGATTTATTACAGTCAACGACGAAAAAGGAAACATCTGATATACCAAAAAGGACCTCAGTTACCATAACAAATGTGGACGATTTAACTTCATTATCTTCAAATTCATTGAATAAAAGAAATTCAATATTACAAAGATCACTTTCATTCTTGAGTCGTTCAGAAGAAAAAAAAACACATTCACAATTTAAAGTACATAGATATACTATCTATGATGATGAGAAGGATGAATTTATTGAAATTGTTGAAGAAGAATGGGAAGGTGATGGTCCTCCACCACCAAGAAAATCCATAAATTCTCAAAGAAAGAATGTGTTACTAACAATAGATAAAGCTTTACCAAATTTACCGGAACAACTACCTGAAAAAGAAAATCTTTTAGTAAAATTTAAACAATGGTTAAAAAATAGATATCCATATATTAATAAATATAAATTACCAATAATCATATCTTTAATAATATTTTTTGTAATAATATTAATTATAATCATTCTTGCTGCCACGGGAAATTTTGGTTCTAGAAACAATAATCTCGATTCAACTGATACTAACGGTTCAAAGAATGGAAACGTCTCACCAGATATAGGAAAGCCTGGACTTCAAATGAATGGAACAGGAGACGGAACATATTATGGTGAGAAAACTTAAGGAAAATTTACGTTTTTTTTCTATTTATATGATCTTTGAAATTTTAAATTATTTAAATTTAATCATTAGATCCTGGTATAGGAGTGGGAGCGTGTGGTAAACTAAACACAGCTGACGAATTTGTTGGAGCAATGGTATGTATTGTTGTTCAACATGTATTACTAGCGTCTGTAAGTGAAATCCGTAAATCAAATTCTTTTTTTAATCTAAATGACAAAACCTAAGAACGCTCAACAATTTGGTGAGAACCTTAATCCAAATAATGCGCCTATATGTGGTATGTGCGTTAAAATAACTGGTCCAAAAGGAATCGTCAAAGTCAAAATTATGGATAAGGTATGAAAGAAATTTCAATTATTTTTTAATTGACTACTTTTAATAAATTATTGGTTTATATCCTTGATTATTAGTGCCCTATTTGTAAATTTGGTGACATTGACCTATCACCAGCTGCTTTTAATGTAAGAAATAAGAAATTACTTTCAATAGCTTCCGATTTACATTAGCTCTAATTTAAAAATTGTTTAGGTGATCGGTGATGAATCTCAAGGTCGTATACTTATTAGATGGGAAGGATGTTAAATTATTTTATAGGTAAAATAATGTAGAAAAATGTTTTTGTGATAAATATTTAATATTATCTGCTTGTAACTAACTATGTAAATCTTTGTAGTGCACATAAAAAATGGAATTAATCGGATTTTTAAAATGGATTTAAAATCAAATCCAATAGTATTGATAAATTCTTTAATAAAATGGAAAAAATCCTTATACTATATCAAGAATTACTTTGCGTGTCCAATATTATTTATTTATGCATTATTAAAGAATTTCGATATTAATGTACTTTATGGTGTCTTTATAAATTCATCAATCTTTGATTTCTATTTTTGGTTACATTCTTTTTGGTCGTACTTTTTTTTTTNTTATGTAACAGGTAAGGTAAAAGATTTGCTAATACTGTATATTCAATATATTCAATATAATTAATTACGTTACTAGTAGTCAAATAATTTGTATCATAACTTACTATACTTATCGGTATGACAATATATATTTTTATAATTATTATATAATTAATTCCATAAAAGTTTAGATCAAAATTTGTCTTCTCACATGTAATTCTTATTGTCTACACTTTACACTGTCAATAGGGGGTAAATATTTTAATAATAATAGTCGTAATTCCTCGCGGTCACGTCGTGAAAATCAACAGTTCCCAACTTTATTGATTATTTTTAAATTTTAGAATTGAGTTGAGAGAAACATATGACATCTAAAGAGATGAGAAAATCGATTAACATCGTGATGACATGTTTCAAGAAGCTAATAATGATCAAAATAATGGTAGGTTTAAATTTTATTGGAATTTTCGTTTGATTTTTCGCTTGATTATTGCTTATATTTGCACAAGGTGGATAAAAAGATTTACTAACCGGGGCATCTCCTTTCTATATAATTTGCAGGATCAATTTGGAATATGCTTTTGGGTGAGGGGAAATGATCTCATTACGAAAATCTGATCAACCACCTCTCCTTAATTTAACAATAAAAAGAATTTAACGCTATCCATATGTAAAGATCATCAAGGGCTTTTTTTTAATGAGAATATGCGGGAATAAATTATTTCGCGCAACCTGCAATACATGTGACGTCTTATCATAATATTACTGCGCATGTATTTATCAAGCTACAAAATAAAGAAAAAATAATACATTGCCTTATTGATCATATGCAAAAAAATATAAAATACAGGTTGTAGCCTGCTATATGGCGATGTTATTTATTCGGTGTATTCTCTTTTACAAGATAGTCCGCTAATAATACTTCAGTGAAAATTATACCGAAGCCTATACACTAGTTATAATAAACAAAAAAGAAATTATAACGCAAAGAACATTAAGTTGGTAGTACAATACTCACAATTAGTAAATTAACTTGTGTTGATTACACTGATTGTCCCTTTCCATTTACGGTCCGAAAAATTGTGTAACAGTTATTTCACTTTTTCATAAATACTCATGATAAATACTCATCGCATGAATTTTTTATTGATAAATTCTATTTTTTCGAAGTACCTATATCGTCATTATAAGCCACTGATCAAGAGTCTATTTTATTATTAATCATGATGAATTCGGAAGGGTTTTTAAAAGTATATATATATCCTCAAGCTTTTTCAAGTTTTCTCAAAACTTCTTTCAATATTCAACATGTGCTTTTCCTTAAATTGTTTACTTCTAGGCGAGAAATCTAGAAATTCTATCTCAGTTATTATTGCCGAAGGAATCTCTGTTCCTGATAATAATAATAATAATAATTCCTATATAGTCAAACATAATGATATTCTAGTTTCACATTTCATGTCTATTGTCTTTAAAAGAAAAAGTGACAAACTTAATTCACTTAATTCTGACAGTCTGGAACTTTGGGTAAAAAGGTTGAAGTTAACGAAAATAAACTTGAAGGATTTTCTACAGATGACATTAAAAATGATCTTGGAGGCGAGTGTATGGAGTCGATACTTACTTAACAAATATTTTACTAAGAAAAATTTTGATAAAATGAAATCGAGAAGGAGGCAATTCACATCATCGTACAAGTGCCCGTTGGTAAGTGTCTCTCAATTTTTTTTACCTCTCGAACAAGAAATTTGCAGTAACAAAATATCGAGTTTGGTATAATTTCTTATTTTTCGCGTTAAAGCATCTTGTTGCACAATGTATAATATCCTTTTTCATACTTGAGTATCGTCTTTAATTCTATATCATAACTTGCCACTATTGATACATGTAGAAGCGGTTAATTTGAATGATGTTAATTCGATTTACAACTGGATATTAGAATTAAACAGTTCAATGGGAGTCTGCAACCGAGACCTAAGGTATATTTTGTTTTATACCTGTTTCCTTTGGTTTGTTGGCCACATACTAACATCATACTAGTTTGTGAGTTCCTTTGGTGCCGATTTTCCTCTAGAAGGACGAGATGAACACTCAAAATATTACTTAATGGTAATAAAACTGATTTTCGAAATGGAATCCGTCAAAGATTTAGACTTATCAAAAACAACAAACATGGCAGAGACATCATATTCCATCCTGGCTAATGGGCCAGGCACAGGCAAAAGTCGATTTCTTCAAGATCTTCCAACTTTAATAAAAAACAAAGCTCAGAATTATATAGATGACGATGAACTTCTGGAAATGCTTAATAATAAAATGTTATCTATTAATATCACCTTTAACACTAACACTGGTGCATCAGAAGATGATGTTTCTGCTGGTCCAGCATCAGTTGCACTTCGGATACTTTATGAACATTTTATTTCTAGTTGGACAATACTATAATTATTTCCAAAATTATTTTTCTTCGAAAGTGTAAAAACTGGCAGAAGTTCACAATTTCAACTGCACTTGATGTTGTTATCAAAGATATTGGCAGTGATATTAATTTTGTCCTCCTTGGCATCGATGTTGAATTGTCTCCACAATTTAGCAAAAGGTAATTTAAAACCAGTTCAAGATATCGTACGTGCTGTTGGAAAATTAAAATGTAGTCAAGAAAAAATATTCTATGTACCAATCTTAGCTGGTACCATTCAAGGTCCTCTTGAGGATATGGTTAAAGAATCGTTATATGATCTTACGCGTTTACTTCTCCGTCTTCTTTCAGATAGTGAAATGGGTACTATTTCCTCACATATGATAAAATTCAAGATAAACTGAAAGACCATATCAATAACCTCGGTAATAACAAAACTTTCAATCGCTATATTAGTGATATCGGTGGCGAGCTTTGGAATTTTTCTATGAGAGATTAATAAGTGAAATTAAATTGGAAACACATGAAGTGGATTATGAATATGTTTTTAAACTTGTCAAAAATACCATTCAAAAAAATATCCGTTTAACAAGTTTGTAACCATTATGAAATCAGTAGTTGCACGTGCAATCCTTAACACTTCTGTGGAAGAGGAATACGAAGTTGAAATTGATGGTAAAAAATTCTCTTTGATTGATCTCTCGTCAAAAGGAATAATAAATTTGGAAATGATACCTCCTTTACCTGGTATGGTCTATGTCCGCATGCCATACATATGAGTGTGGATAATAACCTCAATGAAGGCTTCAAAGCAGATCAATTTTGGATTGACCAAAAATCTCATGTCTTGTGGCAAGATTTTGAAGACTTCAATATGCGATTTTGGGTCCTATGTCTTCAAAAATAATTGTAAACTGAAAATTGTTCGTTATTTGTACATAATTTTACACATGATATATACATGATATGTAAAAAAAAATGAGCCCAAATTGAATGTTATCTGAACATATTTTGCTTAAATTTTGTTTATAAACTGAAAGAAATTTGTTTATTTATAAGTTTAATTAATGTACATAATACATACTTAAATTTGTTTATAAAATATACATAAAGTATACATTAAACAGCAAATTATTTTAATAACTAAGTATCGCTAATCAATATTAATTCCCCCAGGGTTCTATTTCTTTTTGTGAGTTGTTTTATGAATAGTTAATGGGTTCTTAACTTCAATGGGTCTTTCAGCTTCTACCACTGCTGTAGACTTTCTTTTACGGGTTAACTGCAAGGAAAGATTTTTTGGGTTTCACTGTTGCAGATTTTCCTTTTACGAGCTGAGTTGCAAATGGATCGTTCGTCAAATTTTTCAGTTTCCATCACCAAAAGGACCAGGTGCCTACAAAAAAAAGATAAAATTTTTTAATAAAAAAACAATTAAACATATCCAAGTCTTAAAGCCAAAAGAACTGATACCTACAAAAAAAAAGAGAGATTAAAAAAAATAAATTAAAAAAAACGTTTCAAATTTTCGAATTGATACTTACTAGATCCAAGCCCCAAAGCTGAAGAAACTAACACCTAAAAGTCCAGTTTGTGTCCAAGCCAACGTCCTATAAAAAAAAGCAATAAAAAAGAAATGTTAATTCGTTTCTTAAATTAAAATAAAAAATTCCTCCNTAAATTAAAAAAAACGTTTCAAATTTTCGAATTGATACTTACTAGATCCAAGCCCCAAAGCTGAAGAAACTAACACCTACAAAAAAAAAGATTAAAAAAAAATTTTTTTTAAAAAAAATTTTGAACCATTGAGCCCATGCGTTCGAAGACCTTGAAGAACCAGCAGCCTACAAAAAGAAGAAGAAAAGCGGAATGTTATACGTTTCGTTGAAAGTATTATTTACGAAAAGTCAAAAACTTCCTTACCGAATTTCCCTCCTTATAGTCCAGGCTGGCGTTCTACAAAAAAATACAAAAAGAAACATTAGTTCGTTCCTATTTTAAATAAAAATCCTCTTCCTCCTTTCCCTATTTTTTACCTTAAAGTCCAGTTTGTGTCCAAGCCAACGTCCTATAAAAAAAAGCAATAAAAAAGAAATGTTAATTCGTTTCTTAAATTAAAATAAAAAATTCCTCCTTCTCACCCCTCCCCTTTCCCATTTCTTACCTTAAAGTCCGGTTTCGTGTTCAAACCGACGCCCTACAAAAAAAAATAATAATGAAAAAACATTTCTTAAATTAAAAATAAATAAATAAAGTTCCAACTCTCTCTTACCTTAAAGTCTGGTTCGTTCGAGCCGTCACTCTACAAAAAAAAAATAACGAAAAGAAACGTTAAAACGTTTCTTAAATTAAAAAATAAGATAAAAAAAAGTTCCAACTCTTTCTCTGGTTCGTTCTGGCCTGCAATTCCTACAAAAAAAAAGAAATGTTAGTAAAACGTTTCTACAAAGTTAAATTTAAAAAAAGCCCTCACCTTCCAAAGCCGAAATGAAGCTAAAGGAGCTTATCTATATACTTACAGACCGAAGCTGAAACAAATAAAATGCCATTCGTGAAAAAATTTTTTTTTTTAAAAAAAATAAAAATATACTTTTCAGTGATCAGCCGGCTTGCAAAAATTACCATTATTCGGCAAATCAAATATTAGTTCTATTAATCTAATCGTAGATCATTATTAATTGTAGTATTAAATAAAAAACTTTATTTATTAATATTGCGAATATTGCGTCAATAAAATTTATGGATTAATACTGTAATTGTTATATAATTGAACTAGCTTTATTAATTCATATTGCAATTGCGTCAGTACATTAATAAGAATATTAAACTATTGAGACGATTGAAATGATGAGAGTCTTTTTTAGAAGAAATTTTTAGTTAAGAAATGTTCAAAAAAAACACTACCACCTAATTATATAAATGACTTAATAAAAATATTGATTTACATCTTGTAAAGAAATTGATATGTTAAAGCAAACTTATTATTGCTGTAATAGCCCACATTATTTACAAATCTTTTTAGCAGCATGTTGATTATCAGTTTTAACAACAAACTTTTTATTGCTGCAATAGCTTACACTATCACGCATATTACTACCACCAAGAAGAATACCATTACTATGACAATCAAGATTGATATTCTTAAACTTATGAGTGAAAGCTTCTGTACTACCATCGCTTTTTACTTGAACATTCAATCCTCTTGTAACATTATATAAGACTTTACCGTGTTCATTTTCGATTAAAAATTCGTAAAAGCAATCTGGGTTAAAACCTCGATTGAAAGCGCCAAAGATTGTAGTACTACCAGATTCATCTTGACCAAAAGCCACGAAACCCCTGAATGGGCCAGAAGAAGAACTTGAATCAAAACTTGAGAATGCGGTTTCGCATTTACAATTCGTTCGTTTGTAAAATAAGTCAGCTAATTTATCATCAGCTGGCATAGCGGCTGAAACAGTAATAAGGAATAAGGTCAAAAGGATTAATTTATTCATAATTATTCAATTTTTTTTTTAAAAAAAAATATGATATAACTGTCTTATGATGAAAATAAGAGCGCTTTTATATTTTTATATTCTCAAAGAATTTATTTACTGTTCGTATCCGGAATTTGAACCTCTTTGTCGGGCATTGTCGGACTTTGCGCAATGTTGCATAAATAAATGAATCAAATGAATCCCAGTAAGTTCAATCTTATCATGTAACATGCGATAACTTTTTTTTAAAAAATCTAAATGAATTTTTATAAAGTAACTAAATGAAATTAATCATTCTATATTTAGAAATAAAGAGTTCACTTGCATTTGTTTAATTTAAATCAAGTTAGACTAATCAAAAAATCTACACAAACCTTCCTATTATGTATATCATTGTTCAAAAAACAAAAACAGTTTGCACCCGTATTAGTATTTAACATTCCTATTGTATTATTTGATTTGAAAAAAAATGTATGCCAATTCATTTAACGGATTTAAGACTCCGCATAAACATTCCTATTATGTTATTTGATTTGAATAGATCAGAAAATAAGAATGTATACAAGATGCAGCCAAGAAATAAACATAAACATTCCTATTGTATTATTTGATTTGAAATTTGAATAGATCAGATTCATCAGAAAATAAGAAAAAAAAAATGTAGCCCATTCATTTAACGGATTTATGACTCCACCGCTGCTCCTTTCAACTTAAATTTTAATTTCCTTATTTTTTTTAAAAAAAAAAAATTATAATTTCTACGAAATGAAATTAAAACATCTCTTAATTTTTTTATCAATAATTATATTTGTAACATTACCAATAAAATCAAATGTTATAACATTCACAGAAGAAGAAACTACAGAATTTCAAGTGGCAGACATTTTGCAATATGGAGATAATACGATAGTTTTGCAAATAATTCGCAATTTAAGTGGTGGAAATTGTTCTGAAACAAAAATATCATTTCGCGTTATTTATCCCGATGGTAATATTATACCAATCGATCTTTTAATGGAAGAGTTGGGGATACAATCTTTCAATTTTTGTACCGTTGATGGATTTAACCCTATTACTCTTAAAGCCATAGAAACAAAAAAAGGCAATTTTATAATAGTATCTTATACTGTAGCTGCGGACGTAAATAATCCTCTCACGTATAATGATTATTTAATGTTGATTGATTTAAATGGAAAGATTTACAGGTTAGAATGAATTGATCTTTTTTTTAAAACCTTTCGGAGAATATATGTACTTTTTTTGTAATATATGTACTTTTCTTTTAGTAAAACTTTAATGGGGCCTTCTCTTATCGACTCAAGTAATAATAATACGTGGGTGCCTCAACAATCTTTTATTTATCCAAATGTTAATAATGAGCAAGGATTTCTCTACTTTGCATTATTATCGAGTGGTCTTAATGATCTCAATAGTAATTATAACGTGACGCAATGGATAATGTAATTTATCATATTGATAAAAATTTCAATTTTCAATTTTAATTTTTAATTTAATTTATGGTTTAACTTATATTCCTTTCCTCTTTTTATGAAGAAATGAACACGGAATTTTTAGCAAGATTGCAGAAATGGTGTTAGCTCTTCAAGTACCACCTTCTGTAGTTTCAACAGTGGATGGAGGTTACATGTTTATTTATCCTAATATAACAACCTCCCAGGATCCTTTTTCTTCACGGACAGGGCTTTACTCCGTGTATTGTGGATATGGAAGTAATATTGTGCGAGAACCAGTTATTCTTTATGAAACTATATTGGAATTAAATATTGTTGGCCTTAATTGTGTTATCTCTCACTCGGAAGTTGGACAAATTTGTTTGATAACCATACAACCTAATTCCACTGATCTAATTCCAATTCCTGTTTATATTCAAGTTAATTATCTTTCATTAGGATCTGTATTTGATGTAAAACGTGTATATGCCACACTGCCCACAATTATAGGTATTAACCAACTTACCGATCCTCAATTTATAATTAATCCATTACCATTCGGAGGTTATTTCTATAGTGTTGTTCAAACAACCAATATGAGTAGTGATGTTTGGGGCTTTGTTTTGGATGAAAATGGCAAATTTAATCCATGGGACCTTTCATATCCTACCCTGTCAGATTCTAATGCTTCCCACCAAATTTTAACAAATAACACTCTTGCAATGCTTCAACCAATAGTAGGACAAAATTGGAGTTTAATCACCACTAATTTGTATAAAATTCATAAAGGTAAGGTGATGGCGAAATTTTTTTTTTTTTTTTTTTTTTTTTTTAACTCTTACAAATACTCTAGATAATGGTTATGATAATATACTCATCAGAAATACAACTCCGGGCATTCATAAAACTATTCCCGCACGTGATACTAATCCCCTTAGTATTACATATACGATTCCTATTGTTTTATCAAACGGCACAATTACAATTTTTCAAAGTAATGGCAGTTCTAATCCTGGGATCGTACGTCAAACCATTAACGGCTTAAATAACCAAAATTATGTAACGTTTGATAACGATACCGTTAGTATTGTTATAATTGAAAGTACATTTAATAATCCTGGTTCAACATATTATGTTATGATTGAGAATAATTTTGTTTCAAGTCTATTATACAATGAACCTCTCCCTGGTTTATCTAATAAGATTGTTTGGTCTTTTACAACGTGTAAGTGATTTATAATTATGCTCATAAAATTTATATTATATATATAATTAATTATTTTTCAAATAGTACCAGAAGAAGAAAAAGAAAAAGGGGGAGGAAGTAAAATTAAAATGTTTTTTGATGGCATTTATGGAAAAGTTAAATTGACCAAAACCGGAACTGCTTACTTTGACACTCTCGATCCCAATCAAATAAATGAATTCTTTAATAATTTAACACAAGAATTGGCCAATGCAGTCATATCAAAACGAATAAGCACCAATCATAGATTTGTAATCGACACTTCTAACATTGAAAGTACTTCAAACCAATATCTTTTATCCATTAGGATTGATAAACCACAATCTGCATCAGATAGGGAGACTAAATTAATCGCTAGAGATTTAGATGCTATGATCCGGAATATGAACATCACTGTTCTTGCATCTGAAAGTTCTTCGAAATATTTGGAACCACTTTATGGATATGTAACTATTCGTAAGTATTCATTTTTAATTTTTTCAGATGAAAATTTAACCAAATTAATTAATTTTTTTTTCTTTCTTTCTTTTTAATAAAATAGCCAGGTGGTATGAGAATTTCGCCAATATATTCCAACTTATTTTAACAGTTACATTCTTTTTGATATTGACCATACTTTGCATCATTTCTATACATTATGATGCAAAAATTGAAGTAAAAAGTGGTGCAAATAGTAGTGTTAGGAAAGCTTTTTTTCACATAATGAAATCGGATATACATAAATTAACCCAATCTGTAAATTTATGTAAGGGGAGGGAGGGTAATGAGGGGAGAGAGGTTAATGAGAGGAGGGTTGTTGATGAGATTAAGGTAAAGTACACATTCTATATTTTAATTGAAAATCAAATGCTAACATTATGTTTATTAATTTTAGAGCAACCACTTTAAAGTTTATTTATATGGATTTAATGTTTTGTCATTTGTGTTGGACATTCTTTTTGCTAAGGTAGAGGCAGGCAGTGTCAAAATTATTTTTTTTGTGAGGTAAATATCAACTTCTGAACTAAAAAAAAAAATTTTTAAAAAAAGACTAAAATAATATAATTTTCTTTAAGTGTTTTTTTTGTGACAGTTCCATATGTTATCAAGTTAGGATATGTAGTTTACATTATCCTTAGTGAACTTGTAAGAAAAGAAAATTCAGAAGATTCAGTTCAACTTCTTGATGAATCTGAAGAAAAAGGTGATCCAGAAGATTTAAATGATCAACAAGATGGTTCGCAAGGTCAACAAGATGGTTCACAAGGTCAACAAGTTAAAGCAAAAGAAAAAGTTACAATCAAGAAATGGTTAGAAGATTCAAAAAAACATAAAATAGTTCTTGTAATGTTGATATCACTAGCAGGAACTGATGTCGGAGTTCTAGAAATATTTAATTTCCAATTTTGTGGATATAAATTTAACATTAAGTTATCTGAAAAATTTCAACAAAGGGTTATTATTGGAGAAATTATTGGTATTATTATTAAAAATATACCTGAACTAGTTATTAGGGTATGTAATTTTTTTTGCATCACCTTTTTTTTTAAACCAAATATTAATCAAGTTAATTTAATTTTTTTTAAAAAAAACTATTAGATTTACTTTTTGAGTAGAGCGATTGATTTTAGTTATTTATCTATTCTTACTCCTTTAGTATCTCTTATAAAAATCTTAAGTCTTTTTGTAAACTTCACAAAATTAATGAAAATTAAAAATAATGCTTCTTAAATTTGTCATTTTCCTTATTTTTTTATTACAAATTAAAAAATTTTAAATTTTTATTTACCATAAGTCTTTCTTTCAATTACAACAATTATAGTTTTAAAGTGATTTCTTATACCTTAGATATAAAATTGGTTATTATATATCTATCATCAAGTTTTTTGTCTTATTAATTTATGAAATATCAAATGTTACTTATGATTTTATTGTTAAATTTTTACTTTTCCTAATAGTTGTCCATGATTTTTCTTATTGATATTTTTATGGATGATATTTATTTAAACTATCAAATAGTATATAGGATATTAGTATATAATGGTTATTTTACAAATCAGCCTTTCATTATAATGATGATCAATGATATTTATTCATGTAATATACATTTATATATATTAAAGTATTTGTTATATTTAAAGAAAATCTTTTCATTATGTTATTTGTATTATTGTAATCTGCATGATTTTTATATTTTGTACTTATTAAATGAAACATATTACATTTAATATAACAGATAATAAGATAATTATAAGTTTTTTTTTTACAAGTAATTTTTTTTTTAAAGTATTAAATTTATTTTTTAAAATTAGTGTATAAAATTCACAATGTATACATCACACATGTGTACATTTTAATTTTTATGTACATAATTTTAAAATTTAATGTATACTATTATGCATAAAATTTTTTAAAAGAAAATATTAATAAAATTAATAAAAATGTATATTATTATGCACAAATTTTTTGATTGTGCACAAAAAAAAAATGCTTTATATACATATGTACACATAATTTTTTTCAGATTTTATGTACTGCTTAAAATATTATAAAATCCAAAATTTTGGATTTAAATCCAAATTCCATACTCCTATATAAAAAGTTTAGGACTACTCTATTTTTGATTATATTAAATAAAATTTTATTCTTATTTATATAAGTTTTTTTTTTAAAAAAATTCTTTATTAGCAATTTCTTGAATAAATATTATAAAAAAATTCATATTAACATTTATAAATCACATAATATAAGGTTTTTTTCTTAATGGTAAATTTATAACTTTTCAACCAGAGTGATTACAATAAAAATAAATATAAAATTTAAATAGTTAGCTTTAAATAAAATTATATTTCAAATTTCAGAGAAATTAACTACAGTCAACTCCCTCTATAGTCACTCCCGTTATAGTCACATTCTACTATATAGTCACACCAGTTGAATTTTCAAAACACTTTATTATTAAAAACTATCCTATATAGTCACAATCTATCTATAGTCACTATCACACCTATCCTCAAAAATCTTATATTAAAAAGAACCGTTTATAATCACAGTTATATAAAGAATATATTA